GGGATCGAGTGCGTCTGGCTCTGTGCTGACAGCGCGGAGCCTGCTTGGGATTCTCGCTCTCTCTCCCTCTCTCTGTGCCCTCCCCCCCTCTTTCTCTCAAAACAAATAAATAAGCTTTAAAAAAATTTAACATTGTTGAATTTATTTTTTGAGAGACAGAGCGCGAGTGGGACAGGGGCAGAGAGAGGGAGACACAGAAACTGAAGCAGGCTCCAGGACCTGAGCTGTCAGCACAGAGCCCGATGTGGGGCTCAAACTCACTAGCGGAGAGATCATGACCTGAGCGGCTGAGCCACCCAAGCGCCCCAATAAATAAGTTTTTAAAAAATAAATAAATATATAACTTTTACCTTTTAGGTAGATTGGCCCTAAAAGGGCCAGGCCAGGTGGCAGGGGAAGGCCTATAAGCTCTGGAGTGCCTCTTCCTCCTTTGGTAGGACAGACCAGAATGGAACGTCAAAAGGAGGCTGGACATCTTGGGGGCCTCCTTCACCCCAAAGCAGAAGTAGGATGGGCCAGGCCAGAGCCTTGGGGGGGAAGGTAGGGAATGGGTTCTGGTAACCCTAGCATTTCTACATTAGAATACACTAGAAACTCAGCTTCTGCTCAGTAGCCCCACCACCAAAGAGAAACTTCCCAGCTTTCTTGACTTTTCAATTTCCCCCAAGGGTGTGGGCCACAGCTCCAGAAGGAGTCTGAGGCCAGGACTCAACAGGCACGTTTCCAGCACAAGCTTTCCCTGTACGGCCTGCCTATTGGCAGGCGGGGCTCACCCCCTAGAGCTCTCAAGATAAGCCCCAGCTGTGATTATTGGAGCACCCTGGGAGGAGGGGTTCGCCCTCATGGAAAAGGGTGGTGACCGAGGAATCCCTGTCTCCGCCTCCACTTCCGATCCTAGTTCCCCCTCGGCGTCCCCGGGCCTGCTTTGGTGTGGGCTGCTGGCACTCTCAGCTACAGAGCTTTGTTTCCTTTCGGTACAGAAAGGGGAGGCGGAGGCCAAGGAGGAAGGAAAACTCCCGCAGTCTTCGAGGTCCTACTTCTTTCCATAGCAATCCAGTTTCCTCCCTTCCTCTTTCGTCGTGGTAGGTTCCTGCTGGGGCCTAGGCAAAGGCAGTATAACTGGATTCCCCAGGGAAATGCCTTCACCTCTCCCTCGGTGGCGCTCAGCGCTTGGCTCAGGAAAGCGAGTCCCAGCGTGAGCAGAACTAGAAAAAGGGGAGCGTGTCTGCCAGAGAGCGGGGGGGGGGGGGGGGGGGGGGGGGGGGG